GGGTACTGCTTCATCGTCTTCTGAAACTTCTGGACTAGCGGATCTTGGATGACCAATGGTTGAACGTCCTTGTTGAACGGGAGGTCCTGAATTCTGACCGCAAGACTACTGCTGGTCATGTTGAACTCCTTGTCAATGGCTTCCATCTCCTTTCTCAGGATGCCAACCTGCTTGATGGTGAATGGTTCGAAAAGGTCCTCCAGGAGGTACACCTCGTTGTCAAGTGGTTTCACCTTCAAGCGTCGTAGGAGGATGTGCGCGAGATCCTGACAGAACTGGTAAATATACACCTGTGCTAGCTTGGTTCTGCTTCCGAAAGTACCAGCATTTCCCTCGAGGGGTTGATGTTCATGCTTGACTGAGCTGATTTTTACACCTTCTGAAAATCGGTCTCATTACCTCGGGAGGTAAGCAGTGCAAGCTCGTGGGCTTGAGACTTCTGAGTCCGGATTCAGGATCTTTCAGTCCGTATGCACAGATATGGAAGTCTCCCCAGGCCACGGATGGATCTGAAAACAGTTGTTGCATACAACTCAGATACCATATCTTGGATGTCTGAGGATTTTCAATGATGAAATATCTTCCGTGCTTCAGCTGACATCTCCCAGACTCTTTGTTGGTCTTGTTGGATGTTCTGCATATTTGACAATGGCCCACAGACCGGTGCCATGAGGATTACATCAGGCGCTTGCTCCTTGATGATCTCCATGACCATGTGTCGTCCCTTGGATGTCATTACGTCGAATCCGGTGCGGATGTCTACGGGAGTCCCAACCTTTAGACCTGATAGTGCGCAGCATTGACTGAATCTGGCACTTCCTGCAAAGATCTCGAGAACGTGGAATCTTCCCTTGACGTACACAATTCCAATGTGCTTGTTCAGGAACGGATGTGGGGTCCTCGACGAACATGTTCTCTGCCGGATGAGGTGCTGCAGGCTTGGGAGTTGTTTTTCCCGCGATGCGTAATGGCACTGAGGATTTTGGCTTAGGAGCTGGTGTTGATGCCAGTAAAATACCTTGTCCTTCACCTGAAGAGGCTTAGAACTCATTCGGAGATTTTGACGGATGTCTTCGGATTGACGTGCTTCTTGGAATGCTTGCTTGGACAGCTGCTTGATCTGGATGGCTGTCATCTCCTCCTCATTCCTGTCAATCGTCAGCTGAGTTGGTGTTGCGACATCAAGTTGGATGAGATCTGCTGGTCGTCTTCCGAATGCGAGCTCCAATGCTGTTACACCCCCGTAGGTGACAGTCTGGTTCCTGACAGTTGCAGCTGCCTTCACCAGCTGTCTATATGTCACTTTCTTCAGCGTTGCAGGTGCTGTGCCTGCCTTGATGGAACTTGGCATGATCTTGAGTTGTGTGTTCGGTCCCAAGGATATCGGTGTGATGTCAAGGGACTGATAGAAATGTTCCCATGTCTCTGTCATGAAGGCTTGATCTGCGACAACTGATTTGGGCTGCAAGTGGTACTGGTCAAAATAGTTTCTGAGGACAGTGATGTTCTCGACTTCTTGCGTAGTATGAATGTCATGTCACCAAAGGTGTCCGCGCGAAGTCCACTCGTCTTGCTTCGTGATGGTGCATATTTTGCCGCTTGGCAAACTTCACATTCACTTCGGATTTTGTCAAATAGATCGAATGTTGATTTCGGCAAATAAAGTGAGCGGGTTCTAAATCGAAATTGAGCTGTTGTCATGTGATGATGCTGGAGGTGGAGCTTCTTCAACTCCTCGGGATTTGACAATCGCTTGTGGATTCTGCCTAGTGCAAGCGGAAGCGTCGTTGGTTCTTCTGAGGATGGTGCGAAGGGATCTAGCTCAATGGTCGACCGGCCCTTCTTGTCGATGATCCTGTCTGCTGCCGATCCTGAGCCTGCTTCTTCGTCCTTAAGCGAATTGTCCGCGAAGGTGAAAATGGTCTTACCTATCCACAGGTTAATCATCGGTTTGTTTGCCTGGGATGTGAGTCTCCAACTGTCTTCTAGGATGTCTGGATCTCCACCTTCGGATGCATCTGTGATTTCCGTAGTACGCTCTCGGCTGATGTTGTCAGGATTGATTGGACATTCCTTGGCTCCATTTGGTGTGAACAGTGCCTTGCGAGGCGTGATGTGCACACGGATGAGCTGCTTGTTCTTCTTATCAAGGATCCAATGGTCCTGCTTTTGAGACCCAATGATTTTAGGAGTTGCTAGGTCCTCCTTCGTGTTGATTTTGATGCACAAACAGTTTCACTCTTGGAGATATCCCCGGAGGGAAACTTGATGCTGTTGTCATCATCGTAGACGTAGTTGGTGAGGCCCTTGTGAGCAATTTCTCCATGTGCCTTCACTCTTGCAACTCCAGCGAGGTCGACTAGTGCATGTCCTGTACCGGATACTGGAACTGTTTGACGGTTCATGCCAAAGGCCTTGTGTGTGATCTTGTCACATTGAGGTGTGTGCTCGATGGTCATGTAGAGGTTCCGCATCTGACTGACGCTGAGGAGGATGGGTACAGTTCCTTGTTCAAGGACGTCGATGTTTGTACTGCATGGAGGAGTTGTGTGATATCGAAGATGCAGGGTCCAATTTACCCTGGCGGTCTCTCCGTTTGCAAAAGTGAACTTGGTCTCGGCCGGGATGTACTGATAGGAGATGATGTCCTTCATGGGTTCGATGGCCTGAGTAAAACGCTGGAATGGATGGCCCAGGATCGCATAGGTCGGATTGTGCTGAGGGTTGATGACAGGCGCCATCAGCTTTGTTGCCAAAAGGCTGTGATTTGTTGTGACGGACAAATTGTGTTCTGAAACTGCATCTGATTGGATCAGCTTCCCGTGGATGGCCTCTTTCTCATGATGCTCATATAGGTCATGGAATGCCATGAGCGCTTGTCCTGCGCTGGATGTCTCATGGGATGAGTACCAGCCTTGTTCGTTCCGTGTCCATGATTGATCCCAATCTTGGTCTGTCCAACCGGCATAGGTAGGCTCTGTGGATGGTGCAGTCTGCTGGATGGCGGGCTGCTCCTCCGTCTTCTCTGCGATGGCTGCGAACGTCTTGGATTTTCCTTTGTCATGTCCGCTTTTTCCTTTGCCATTCTCATAGGGTGGATAACCCTTGTTTCCATCATAGGGATATTGGAATTTGATTTTCCTTTCTTTCCCTTCTTTCCTTTGCCTTTTTGTCAATATGTCGGGTCGTAGGGATCATAGTTTTCATTGGCCATATTGGCCTTCCCGCCAGAACCGCTTTTTCGAAAGGGTTTGAAGCCACCTCGTTGGTGACTGCCCTTTTTGTTTCCTGATGTTCCTTTTCCTTTTCTCTTCTTGAATCTGAAATTCCGCCCTGACACTTTTCTTGCTATGAACGCATCGTTCTCCTCGAGGACCCAGAATGTCTGTTTGACATGAATCCTTCAAGTCCTTCTTCATCCTCAACCCAAAAGCCTTCTCCTCCTTCGTATTCACCTTGTTCGATGATGAAGAATGTATTGCTACGGTTGCCTCCTTGAGGTCGGATGGATGGATCTTGAATGGATGTCCTGGTCGTGATAAAGAGTTCATGGTCATGCGTCTTCAGCATCTCATAGGAGTAGTTCTCTAGTGAAATGTTTCTCAGTGACATTGCACTGGTCAGACTTTCTCTTTGTTGACCTGACAATTCACTCTGAATGATGAAAAACTGCGCAATGAGATTATCCCCGAAGGGAAATGCGTCCCGCTGTCTGTCCTGCACTCCCGTGATATACTGTCTGAGGACTGTCGGATCATCCTCATTGAGCAGGACTGGAGGCGTACTCGAGTACCAGCTGCTTGCTGATGTCGAGCAATTGTTCTTGCATTTGCGTCCTGTACGGACTGTCGAAATGATGGGGACTGTGCCGTGAAAACGGGCATCAAGTCCATCCATGCTGCCTTCAATCTCATGAGAAGGATTTCGAATTTTGAGGTAAAAATGAGGACTCTTGGTTCTGCCTTCTATGATTGAAGAAACTGAGGAGCCTGTACAGATACACGTTGGTCGCACCTTTCAAAAAGTACATCTTCAGCGTGTTCTTGAAGTAGTTGACTCCTTTATCAGGATCTTGCAAAAGGTCATTTTGGAGGACTGCCTTGTACATATAGGCATCTCCTGCGAGTCTTCTCTTGAGCAGAGGTCCTCTCTTGGGTGCTTCCACCGTAGTGATTGTCACCCAGTCGTCCACGAGTTCTTCATACCTGAACCAGCTGACTTTTCCGTCGTACGATGGCGGCTGCTTGGCGGTCATCGGTAAATTGAATGTTTCCTCCGTATAGCCTGATGGTTTGGCCATACTTGAATAGGCTTCCATGAAGCCTTCTCCATCGGATGACATCTTCCCTTGGATCCCTGCGGAAACCACAAATTGAGGCCCACTGCCGGGGTGCCTATCCCAGAAGGGAACTGGTACCCTGTGGTAGTAGAGGTCGTTGTTTTGGTTGCTGGTGGCTTGTGTTGACTGTGAATCCTGTGAAGCGGTCTGCAAGCCTTTTTCTCACTGTACCATGAGTCGAATGACTGTACAAATGACGTGAAGGGCCTTGAGCCATCATGTCAGCGGAGTGTGTGAATAGGTCAATGCGCAACAAAAAGCAACACGGGGGGGGGGGGGGGGGGGGGGGGGGGGCAAGGCTTGTTTAGGGCAAACTTAAGTCTTTGGGTTTAGGGTTTAGGTTTTGCAGGGGTGGGCGTAAGGGTTGGCTCGCGTAGCGCGGGTTTAGAGTTTGTAGGCTTGGGCGTAGGGTGAGTCAGGCTTATGTGGGATTAGGGCGGTTTAGCCTGACTCTCTCTAGCGTCTGTCATCTGCATCTTTCCTGGAGCTGCTGGCTTGCACGGATGTTCGGTAAATCTAATAACCCCGTCTGACGGGTGGGGAAAAGCAAGTATGACCACGGCAGTAGCACGTTCGAGCACTGAGCAGAACAGGAGGGCAAGCGATGGAACTGTTGCAGCGCTATGCAAGCACTTCTTGCGTGACATACTGAGGACTGCGCAAACTTGGCTTCTGAGGCGCTCCAATTCAACTGGTCTAAACCTCATGCTTGTTCCAAAAATGCTGCATCAGTGAATGTGCTCCATGCTTCTCAGGACGCAACGAACCGACAGGATGAACAGTGGGCAGTGTTTTGGAGAAGCCGCCCGTGTGTGTAAGGCAATGCCTGCCGGCACTGCTTTTTGCATCCTTCAACTCCTCTGACACTTGCCATAGGCGTCAGCCTCAGCAGCAGTGGCGGCATCTTCGCCCCTGCGACAAGTTGGGAGCAGTCTGTTCCTCTCACACATCCGCATGAGGCATGTGATGCTGAAGTGGAAAAGAAGCCTGCCTGATTCATCGCATAGATCCATGGGCCACTCTGGAACTATCTGGCTGATCTGGGCAGCAACACGCTTGTAAACGAGATGCTGCCAAAACTCTGCAATCTCAGAAGCAAGCTGGAGTGTCTAGCGAGATACCCAACTCCTGCGCCAATTGCACATTGCAACCTACCATCTGCCTCCTACACATCGGCGACTTTCCGTGAAAGGGCTGCCATGCTTTCATCACATGTTCTGCCCGCCTTTGCGGGAAAGCTCGGCATTTTAGACTCTCGAACTCTCTCACCGTCCTTATCCAATCTCGCTTCTCCCCTTTCTACGTTGGGTCGAATGATGTCGAATGCTTGCTTGAGCATGTTGATGCTCGCGTAACGTGCATCGTGTCAAGCGCCTCCCTTCGGAGCTCGTTTTTAGCTGAGAACATGCGGTGGCTTGGATTCGGACAGCTCTCTCTGCCTTAGAAGTAACCACATCTCTCTCGCTTCTTTGATCCTTGCTTAAGAGGCATCCACCCAGAAATTCGGCAGCCCTTGCTCAACGTGTAGAGACTTTGGTGGTCTCTGGGGCTGTTTGTCTTGCCTGCCCTCAAGGCCCATCATAGGCCGCAAACTGACAGCCCTTGCTAGATATCGAAGTGGTGAAGCTGATCCAGCCCACAAAAAGCGAACTGTTCATTAAGGCCTCGCTTTCACATGCCATCCGTGCGTGCTTGCGTGTGTGTCGTGTGTGCGCATGTGGGGTAGAAACATATTTATATGTATGTATGTGTATATGTATATATATATATACATGTTGTGTGTGTGTGTGAGGCAGTCAAGCCCGGAGATTACTCTATGCTTGGCATGCAAGCAATTTTAAAGCCCTTAAAAGTTCCTATATACGCATGGTCACATTTCTGCTCAGAAATCGAGAAATTCAAGAACCTCAGGGGCGAGCCTCGCACAACTGGAGACCAGCGATAGCGGTGAACACCTCAGCGAGTCTGCACTCTGTTTGCATGAGGAAGTTGGCCCGGCCTTGGAGATCGAGTAAAGTTTGAAGACAGTATTGGAGGTGTAATTGCCCAACCTCGCAAACTTGCACGTGGCAACTGATGAAGGCATGCCTTGTGCTGGCCCTCAACTCATGGCGTTCCGGTCTGAAATTTCGTAAGCCGGCCATGTTCAACTACGTTGACTGGCAATCGGCCCTTGGGAAGGGGGCTGTCAATGAGCAGCGTCTCTGTTCAAGAATCGAGTCACCTGCCATTGAAATTCTGAGGGCTACCAGTGACCCTAATGCAATTTCACTAATTGCAAATTGATGACTGAAGCTGGCTGAGACTTGATGTGCATTACCTGATTGCCACCCCCCCTCTTCCCATTCGGACAGAAAATCAAGAAATTCCATCTTGCATGCGTTAAGTCATCTAAGACGATAGCTCCCACAGCGCAATTACCTGCCGTCGTCATTCTGCGGTGCACCGCAAAATTACTTTATGGCGCCGCAACACATTTGTGGCCGGCCTTCCCTGACTTGACAATGGCAACGACAGCTCCCTTCAGCAGGCCTGCACGGATGTACCTGCGCTGCAAGGACATGTGCACAGAGAGCTGTGGTGGTTGAGGGGGTGACAAACCGGTCGAGAAGGATTGTTGGTGCATCAAACCAAACCAACACCCTGCCTCTTCTCAAAATCAGCTGCCAGCTCTGCTAGCTTCGAGGAACTAAGTCCATGAGCCTCCGGGTCGTTCCACTCACAACCTCGGGATTGGTGCCAGGCACAATGCGAGCGCTGCCAGCTTGCAAAAGTAAGTGCGCACATGTGTTTTTGTTTGGGACGCTTCTGCACATCACATAGTCACATGCTGGATCCTGGGCTGAATGACATGCAAGCTTGTTGTAAACAGCGCCCGGCGCCGTGATGCGAGGGCAGGGCGGCCTCGAAACCTTTAGAAGTCTTCCGCTGTTGCTCACACAAGTTGCATGAGTTGCATAAAGCCTTCATATGCAACTTGCGTAAAGCTGTGCGCCTTGGCAATGCCGCTGCTAACGACAGTCTGGAAACGCCTTATGGCTACGGCAGCTTCAAGCCACACTGAGGGCAGCAATATGTCAAGCCATTGGCCAAGGAAGGTCAGGAAGACAACTCCTCGAGAAGGAGGGAATGCCAAGCTGTCATGCTCGAACGAGTCTCATCACTGCACGGTTCCAACAATACAAAAAGCCAAATTGAACCCTCAAGTTGGCTATTCTGGCACTGGACCGGCATCTAAGCCCTCTAAGCGTTCATTGCAAAGTAGTTACTGTACATCCAGATGCTTGATCTGTCTCACGCATTGCTTGCACGCTGCCAGTCGGTCGTTTCGAGTAGATAGCTGCCACAAATTAAGTAGACGTGAACTTTACCTTCACACAACAACACAACAGTATGAATTTGGCGCCTGGGCTCACCTATGTCTACTTCACATGTATGCAGGAACTGCCTGGTAAACAGCAGAGTGTTGATTTCTTTGCGTGCCAAAGGGGCAGAATCCTGACAGGAAAATCGAAATGAAGCTGAGAAGCAATTGCTGAGTAAGTAGCTGGGACAAGCACAGCCTCTTAGCTGACTGCCAAAAAGATGCATGTAAAACGCAGCCAGGTGGTAGTTGCAGCTAGCAATATCTAAGTCTTTGCTCAGCGATGAACATATTTCAACGTTTCAATTCGACATGTCACGGCACAAGGCAATACAAAAAACAAGGCTCCCCTGTTCCTGCAGCTAGCGCTGCTTTCCCCTTGTTCGCATTGATCAAAAGCATTCCTGACAGGGCGGCGGCTCGCCATTTTGAACAAAAGTAGGCGGGTCACACAAAGCAAGGCAGCACTGCAACAAGTGTCCAAGGGCTCTGGCAGCTAGACAGCCATGAGCCAGGAAAAGATTCCATGTTTCAAGGGAAGCCCACTGGCCTGGCTAAACGTCCAACACGTCCATAGCCTCGCAACCAAAGAGCAACAAACAGAAAAGCCGGCCTCAGCTCAAAATCTGAGCTCCAAGCTCGCAAAGCGCAACAAGCAATCAGTCAATTCTTGCTGCCACGGCGGACAGAGTTTTTATGCTGTCATAAAAGAACGCTTATCATTTGAGGCCCCTGTGACAAGCCAAAACAAGGCTTGATGAACATGGCGCAAATGACAATCACAACTCAATCATCTTCGAACAAGGAGCTCGCAAGAGGCACTCCCACAAACTGTAACCTACTTGCGCGGAGCAAAGGTCGCTGAGCTTGAGCCAAGCCCAATCAGCCCGACTTGAGCATTCAAGATCCAAATCCATCAGCAAAACATTGGAATTATTGTGGTTGATGTTTAGACTTTAAAAAGAGTCAACTGCAACAAAGTTCTGGTGCAACCACTTCTTTGGCAACTTGCCTAGCCTGGCAGGGCCAAACGCGCGAACAACAAATGTATGGTTGCTGACATAATAAGTGTGTTTTCTCTAATCTGCTCAGGCGGGTTTTGCTCTTGAAGGGTACGCGATGCAGCATGCTCAATTGGAAGTAGTTTTCCAGTAGGGCACCTGGCCAGTAAACATGAACGGCTGCATCATGCGGATGCTCAGTCAGCCAGCATCATGCAGCAAGTATGTCGAACACTCCTCTTAAACCGACTCGGCAAAGCAATCAACTTTGTTTTCGAGCTTGCGCGCTGAATTATGTCAACACATGCAGGGCATAGAGCACAAAAAGCGCTATCCTTGCAGTAGCGCTGCAGAACTTATGCCGATTGCTTGAGCAGGGCTCCGCATCAACTGGCTGCAAGTTTCAACCATGTGAACAAAGAGCTTGAGCCCTGCATCGCATCATGGTGCAGTGAAGCAGCATATTTGCTGCCTGGGTATTGGTTGCGGTTTCAGTGCGGAGTGCTACATGACAAAGGCAATGCACGGCCTCTGGCCCTGAGCATCTGAGTCATGAGTTTCACTGGCCAGGCGCTCGCTCTGAATGCAAACTGGATGAAACATTCTGAAATGAGAGATGGCACAACAAGAGACTACACTAGACCTGCACTCTTGCGCTCCCCGGTCTCATCCAAGCATTCGCGCAGCGTGCGCGCCAAAAAAGCTCTGCTTGCCACCGGTTTCTGGCAAGGCCTTTGCAGCTGAGCGGGCCAAATCCATATGCAAATCAACGCTCAACTGAGACGCCCGCGGAGTCTTTGCGCACGGGCGGCAAGGAAGCCCCTATGTGTGGCTGTACTGCAGGAAGTCCAGGTAGATCTTTTCGCCCAGGAACCGGAATTTGCTGCATGCCTGCAACAGTTGTTGAAGTGTCTCTAGTGTCTCTATTCAATATGTCCAGAGGCCGTCAGGCCCTGCAACTATTCGCCTGGCTGATATCGCGCCATCTTCAAGTATCGGGCACCTGGACCTCAGGCTCCATCAGCTAACTGCAAGATGTCAACCGCAATGTGCTGACAGTCACAGTTGCTGACCTGCTGAGTTGACTGACCGGACAACAAAAAACTAAACTTTTGGCCCCTTGACAAACAGCTTAAATTAAAGTTTGCCAAATCACTAGGTAAAGCTATCAACCTTTGGCGATTCCTGGCAGGGTGCTTTTCTTGGCTGCGCTCGTATTTCGCGCATCTTGCTGAGCGCCCCTGGCCAACCGCAGCGCACAAAGTGCAAGAGCAACTGCTCCATTTTTGCATCTACAGCAACGGGCCTGCCAGCCCACTGCCCGCATCCAGCATCGAAAGCAACAAAACAAAAGCAATGACTAGCCCCAGAAAAGGCCAATCAACATGGCTACCTTAAATGAAGTGGGGCGCACGTAAGTCTTGTGACCAAACATGAACTGGGAGACAGGCATCATGCTGCCTCTATCATGCAGTCAACGCAAGGCATTCATGGGCAAATGGCTGCACATAGCTGTGTACAGCCACTCGCCCACCTTTCTTTTTTGCTCTCTCTCCCTCTCTCTCCCTCTCTCTCTCTCTCTCTCTCTCTCTCTCCCTACGCGTTTTTTTTCAATCATAGCAATCAACATGACTCATGATCTTCAAGTTCAAGAAGGAAAGCGCAACTTACACAGATAATGAAGGTACTCGAAGGTGCGTCCCAATTCGCACCACGGGCACTGCATGCGCTGCATGGGCGTCTTCGTTGGCTCTCGTCCCACGCATGCTCTGAAAGCCCCCTGCAAGTCGGGAAAAAAACCTCTGCCTGGATGAGCTAGGAGGTCCATATCCAACTCAATCTGCCGAGGCCCATGGGCTGCAAGTGATAAGAGGGAGGCTTGCGAAGCGTCGCGACACTAGCAGAAAGCTCACGGAAATGAACCGAATCGGCTGGCGCACCGGCAGTGCGATTCCTGGACACGAAGCGCCACCACACGTGCCAATTCAGGGAAGCGATGGAGCCTCTGAGGCGAATCGAACCGCAACGGATGAGAGAGCACGGCTGACAAAGAAGCTGACAGCCAGGCTTGTTGCAGTTTTCAAGGCCTAAAAGTTTGCAATCCATGTTTGGTAGACAGGCCAGAGCCCCAAGGTTTGAGCCCAGAGCCGGGGAGCCGCAAGGTTGGGCGGGAGCCCAAGCTGGGGAGCCAAAGCTCAAAGGATCGAGCGGGCGGTCGGATCTCGCCAGAGTTCGACATGTCGGGCAGGCAATCAGGCTTGGGTCCCAGGCTTCTATTGCAACCTTTGTACGCATGGCCGAGGGACCAGGCGTCTTGCTGAGCCTTTCTGACTCGAACTTACTTGACTCGAACCGCTTGGCTTGAACGCCTTACTCGAACGTGCTTGTTTCTCTCCTTTCATTTCAGATGCCGCCTCGTGACTTACAGCAAACACCGCCCTCATCCACACCGTTGCTGCCTTCCACTATGACTGAATCTGTACCCTATAACTTCGCCCGCTGCCTCCCCCTTTCTACGCCGCAGAAGATCTCGTCTGTACGCAGGCTTCCCCTCCCTCCGTCTACTACCACCACGCCACGGACCACGCCATGTTTGCTGTGCCTCCATACGTGCCTGCGTGCCTACGTGCCTGCCTGGGTACAGTAGGTGGGGATTGGTGTGGATTGCCGTGGGTTGAATTCCAACGAAAGACTGACAAACACGCATGCAGAAGCATCGCGCACACAACTCACAAGCTGCCATGAATGCCGTGCTCGCGCAAAACGGCGTATGCCAAATGATACAACGCTTTGGCAACCTGATAACGTACGGCATGCAGGCGCAGCCAAAGCCAGCATGACCTGCCTTAGGGGCGGCAAGTTGAAGCCCTTGGAGCCACCAGCCTCCTGACAGGCAACAGCATTGCAGGAAGCAGAATGCTTGCTGCACCGCGAGCATCATCACAGGTTCAAACGTTTGGCGATTTAAGGCTTTTGCCAAACGAGGTGCCTGTAAGGCCTGCGGAGCTTGCACACCTTCAGCTTCAATTGTATGTGCCGATCGCTGTGCAGGACGTTTGTCTAAATTTAATCGACCGGATATCACTAACTTGTGGGAAGTTCTGGGCAGCTGAAAGAGTAAAGTGGTACTGGGCACTGGCCCTTGGTACCCGGGCCTCAGAGTTTGAATCAATCGGAACGGCTAGGATCCACACTCCGAAACACCAGGCCGTAGTTCTGATCGGAATGCTCAAGCCCCCGCTAGTTTCTGACGTTGCCCTGTTAGTTGGTAACTCAGCTCGCTTCAAAAGAACAGACGAACGTTTAGCGAGGACCGGGACATAAGTGTTGCTCACCAGCACCAGCTCCCAACATGCTGCCAGTCCTTGTCCACTTTCCCAGTGCTCGGGTGGCTTACCTCAGTTCCACCACTGCCACCACACAGCTGGCAGGTGCTGGCAGTGCATATCAATGGCGCCACCGGTGGATGCACATGGCGCATCCAGCAGCATTGGCCAGCAGAATGCCAGGCAAGCTAATCGCAACATGCGTCGCTTCCTGCATACCAGGCACATCGCCTTTCCAGCTGCCTCTCGTGCCTGCACCAGCTCAGGTTATGAAAAGCGAACTGCCTAAGGCCCAAGCTCTCTCAGCCAAAACCTAGTCCCTGCAATCCCTTCCGGATGACGCTGAGGGCAGCACCAAAGAGACTTGCTGGAGGAGCCTGGCCTGCCTCCAAATGCCAACGCTCAACATAAGCGTCAAAGCTCAAAGAGCAGGCGAGTGCAAGCAAGCACAAGCTTCCAACCGTACACGCACTGTAATTTTATCGGCTTGTGCAAAATGAAGCAGAACGACGCTAAAACTGCGCCAGGCAGCAACACACCACCAACCGAGCCTGTGCAACAGAAGCGCTTGGCTGCGGAGGCTTCGCTGCTCTTGAGGTGTGCGTTTCTGGTGCGGCAGCCGGCAAAGCAGTCGGTGCCTCAGAAGACGTGCTAAAAAGCTCCATGCAGCCTGTCAGGTTGGCAAGCACTTGATTAGTAGAACGCCTGCCCTACAGCCGCCAAACAGTAACCTGCTGCAATACCTCCAACCTTCTGACAGTCCCGGCCGGCGTGGATTGCACGCCCTGGCTTTGCTGTGACCTCAGACTCGGTGGCTTCATTCCGTCAACCGCGGGTTCGCCAACAGGCCCGTCGAGAAGTCAAGCTGGGCTACTCCATCATAGCTACTTCGAAGTATGGGTGCTTCAGCACCTGCGCTGTTGATGGCCTCTTGGAGGGATCCCAGTGCATCATGGCCTGAGCTAGAAGGTGCAAGGCCGCCTGACTGAGTCGGGACACGGCTGAGGACCGCACCAGCATGATATTGACACCATCTGCATTTGATTGTGGAATAAGCATTTCAAGCTTTGTCGGTACAAACTGCGGAAAGCGATAGTTGATCCTTAGATTCAGCACTCGTCATAGTCTTACACATCATTCACACAACAACAAGCATGCAGGGGCCAAAGGAAAGGTTCAGCAATCAGGAAGACAGCAGTGGCAAACCGTTGTAGCCAAAAGATGCCCAAATAAACTAGCAAAAGGGAAGGAGTGCAAACACCAGTGCATTTGCTGAAGCCCGCAGAGGATGGCTCACAGTGCTCGACTGGCAAATTGAGGGCCAACCATGTCCGAAGTCCCTTCGTTCCTAACTCTAGAATGGACTGGTTCAGGCGTTGATTCCAGAATCAACTCTGAATGTGATCAAAGGCGCGATGCCAATGAGGTGTGCCTGCTGACTGTGCACTGGTCAAACAAGCCAAACGCCATCTCACGCAGTTTGGAGCTGTGGGAAAAAAGGAATTCAATCAAAGAATAATGTGAAGCCGTTTATGGGCAGGAGCTCATTCAAGCAAGCATCTGCGACGCCAATTTGAAGCCGTCAGGCCACGTCTGTTGAGGTGGGGTCCCCAGCACAGAGCATATCCTTGCATAGCAAAGCAACAAGCCAGGCGCAGTGTCTCTGATGGTTTGCGGCCTTTGTAAGCTCTTTATAAGGGCCGCAGGAAGTCTGGCTTATGCACAGCTCCCATGTGCACCAGAACAAGCAGCCAAAAGGCGTGGTTGCCAAGCTTCTTGTACAGCTCATCTGATTCTGAGGAACCAGGAAAGAGGGGCCGCAATGTGTAGAGTTCTGCCATGATGCCACCACAGGCCCACATGTCAATTGGCGAATTGTACGTGGAGCCTCAGTTAGCTGCCTGCCCTTGCGTGGAGCAAAGCAAATGATTAAACCAGGCATGTGCAACGTGGTGGTCCCCTGACGACACCGAGCAAATGGCTCTCTCTAAACAAAAACCTTAGGCACTGGCTTCGCAGTAGCACCTGCAAATTGAATGGCTGGAAGGCTGGAAAAGCTGGAAAGCGCGGCCCATTCCCACAGTCAAAGCTGGCGCCTCAGGGGCGCGGTACCAGCGTGTAGAGACGTAGTCAGTAAAGGGTGGCCGCGCTCTGATCTGGCGCGCCAGCCCGAAGTCTGCTATCTTTACCTGCAGCACCGCAAGAGGTTCACGCATGCAACGTGTAACAGCATGTCGCTCACAAGGCGGGCATTTGCATGCAAGCCAGTTCCTATTGGTCTCAGGCACTGTATCTCCCGAAATCAAGACATTCTCTGGCTTCATGTCGCGATGGAAGTATCCATTCTTGTGGACATGGTGCAGCCCCTGGCTCAATGGCTCCAAGTCCCCTCCTCTACTGGATGCATCGCGATGATGCAATGTGTGGCAGACTTTTCTGGCGCGCCTGCATCGTTTGAAACATCACATTCCTAACCTTCGATTCTGGTATAGGTCGCACTCTGGACTTCATGAACTCGTACAGGTTTGCCTCAAGTGCTTCAGAACAGGATCCGAACATGCTCACCAGCATGGTCGTCGACCGATGGCAGAGTTACCACTATAAAGGCGTGCCTCCATCATCTCGAAGACCATGTGCAATTCATCATTTTCCCGAATGACTTCCTTCAGTTTCACGATGTTCGGATGGATTAGCGTCCTGTCACGCCGCACAATGTTTGTCAACTTGTTGGCGGCTGCGCTGGCCTCAGCGATTGGATCTCACGGAGCTTCATACATTCTTCCCAACTGTACATCCTTGGGCGCAAAGCATGGGCATCATCTAAAAGCTGGCAAGCACCAGAATTGCTGGCTGGACACTTCTGCTTCATTCTCTTGATGGCTACCACCTGCTGAGGATTTCTCTTTTCAAATGCTCGTATGGCGCTGCGTGCCAAAGAGGGGCATGGAGTCAAACGGCATCGAAACATGCGTGCACCGAAAAATCCGACACGCTCACCAAACCACAGCGCCAACCTGTTTCAAAACAAAGCGCAATTCTCATGCGGGAAGGCTCGACAAGGAAACCCGAGAGAGAACGGACCGACACCGTTTGACAGAAGTGCCACAGGTGCCTTTTCACCAGCCTGCTCTAGGCAAGTTCTCTTCGCAGGTATCGTTCCCCCCCGCCAAAACGGGAGAAATGCCAATCTAAGCAGGTGGAGAAGAAAAGCATGCGTCCGGGTAAGATGGGCAGCGGGTGGGAACCAGCCCAGCCCAGGCAAACCAGGAACGTTGAAATAGCAAGTCTTGACCAACGGCAAAGCATGCGTCCGGGCAATGTCTAACGTCTGCGCGTGGCAAAACAGTCCCCGAACAGGGCGGGAATCGCCCTACTGATCCACTTTTCCTGTCTAGTGGGGATTCGGGACCTTAGGTCAGCTTTCGGGACAATTTCTTGGAGAGGCAAGCGCGGAAAGAATTTGCGAGAACCTGCCTCGCCAGTCTGCTTGTTCTGAGCCCTCAGGACAGACCCATAGGTACCATCGCCAAGAGTCTTCGTCACCTGTGCTCATGCTGCCCTGCTGTTCCCTCAGAAGCGCCAAGGACCACTCAGCAAGATCCTGCCTTGTATCGATTCATGGCGAGCAACAACTCAACCCTTGAAGCTGCCCAGGTAGCTTGCAATACCTTGTGCCCTGCTATTTGTCATCCGTGTCAAGACATGTATATATATAGATATATAAATACAAATAGATATATTATAGCCATGCATCTTGTCTTGGCTGTCTGCATGATGCATACGTCAGCTAACAGGTCTGACCTAAGGGACTCAAAGCCGCCTGGCGCGCAGTCTTTTGACATCTGCGATATCTGGACTGAAAAATAGTCGAAACATACCAAACCCTGGCATCGGCTTGCATTGCCTCTTACTTGTCATACTCATGGGAGCTGGCACCCTGCACAAACTCTCTGGAGCGCAAACGACATGCACATGTTTTGACACGACGCAGATCCTACTATGAATCCTATCCACTGCTTTGCGCACGTCAAAGTGCGATGCCCCTGGTAGGTGCTCCCAAAATCACATTGTGAGGAACACAAGTCTTCAGCTCTCGTTTGGCTGGTGTTTCGTCGGGCTGGCATCAGTCGGGCTCCTTCCGCTTAGTCTGTGCTTGCAGATTTGGGCAGCTCAGTGATCTTTCCGATCGCAATTGTCCTCCCATCCACCCGCAGAGTGAAGCGCCCCAGCTGCTTTGAAGACTCGAAGGTGTCCACCGCAGTTGGCCTGGCAAGCTTGATGCTGCAAACCACCACAGAATCGGGCCGGGCAAACTGCGGGTTCTTCTCCTTCTTCTTGGTTTGAATCACCATAGTTTCATAGAGCTTCAGGATTTCACACTCCTCGCTTGTTGTGTGAGCATGCATGACTGCCACGTACCCAGAAGTCATGACTGGCCGATCTGGGCCCAACTCGATGAGGTGGATTGTGGCCTTGAACTTGGTGACTGCTGGGATTGGGCTCTTGTCTGAACAAAGGACGTAGCCTTTCTTCAACTCCTCATCACTAATCCCTGACATCTTGAGAGTAACGTTCTCACCACACGTGGCGAACTGCATGTCCACATCGTTGATGAACACCGAGGTCACAGTGCACTTGTTGTTGGTTGGCATGACAAGGCACTTCATGCCTGGCTTGATGGTGCCCTGCTCAACTTTTCCGATTGCTGTTACAGCGCCCATGTCTTTGTAGCCTTCCATCATCGGAATTCTGACTGCGCCATCTGCCTTTCGAGCCACATTGATGCCGTCCAGGGCATCGAGCAGCGTCGGACCCGTGAACCAGGCAGGTGTGCCCTTTCTCTCTTTGATGTTGTCCCCCATGAGGCCAGACATTGGCAAGAAGATCATTTGGTCCTCCTTGTAGCCACTCTTTTTGAGAAAGGTGGAGAGCTTCTTGTAGATTTCGTTGTACCGTTTCTCGTCCCACTCCACTGTAGGATCATCCATCTTGTTGATGGCGCAAATCAGCTTGTCAACTCCGAGCGTTTTAGCGAGCAGCGCGTGCTCGCAAGTCTGCCCGCCCTTCTCAAAGCCCGTCTCAAACTCGCCTTTGCGGGCGGAGATGAGGAGGACGCCAACATCTGCTGCTGATGCTCCTGCAATCATGTTCGGCACGTAGGACTTGTGCCCTGGTGCGTCCAAAATGGTGAAACGCTTGTTGACCGTCTCGAAGGCTGCCCGGCCAACCTCAACAGTCTTGCCCTTGATTTTCTCCTCCTCGCTTGTGTCCATGATGAATGCATAGAACCAGCTTTCACCTGCCTTGTTTGCGGCCTCCTGCTTGTATTTCTCAATCGTGCGCTCATCCACCATGCCAGACAAGAACAAAATGTTGCCGCATGTGGTGGACTTGCCTGCATCCACGTGGCCAATGAAAACAATGTTGAGGTGTGGCCGGGGGTCGGGAACCTTTTTCTCACTGTCTTTGCCAGTATCCGGCTTGACCTCTTCAGCTTCATCAGCTTCCGGCTTGACCTCTTCAGCTTCATCAGCTTCCGGCTTGACCTCTTCAGCTTCATCAGCTTCCTCTTCTTCTGTCTCTTCTGTCTTGCTCTCCTTCACCTCCTTGACCGCATTGGCCTCTTTGGCCTCGGGGTCATAGCCATTCCCCTGCCTTGGCCACCAAAGCATCAGCATGCCCAGTTCCAACACAAACAAAAAGGACAATCCTTGTGCCGCAGCAAGTTGCTTCCGAGGAGAAACACTAAGTTGCTGGGCGCGGGGCTGGTCACCGTAGCCATCACCGCCACCGTCTCCCTGCATGCTGCAAGATTGGCTGGGGTCAGCAGCCAGGCGTCAGCTACTTGGGCAAAAACGCTGCAGAGCGCAGGCTCTGAAGATCATGCGCAAATGGAGAGACAAATGTTGGCTTGAGGCAGCTTGATCTGCTACCTTTTTTGCGGTGACACCGCAACATCGCGAGTAAAGCTATCATCTTGCAATGTGACGAATTCTAAATCTGCACTCTAGTTTTGAATTAATACGCAAGAGTTGGAGCGCCCATGCTAAGCTCACCGCTGCCGCAAGCAGGGCAATTCTGTGACCTTGGCAGTTGAGACCTTCTGTTGCCCGCATCGCCCTGGACTACCTGCAGTAAGGAGATGCAGGAAGCGAGGTGCATGGGAAGCTATCATCCGTAAGTAGTGGCGTGAAGCGGCATCGATGCTGAAGGCCCCAGGAACTAGATGCAACGCAATCTGCGAGGACTGAGACCACCTTCATGCCTTCAAGACACGCTGCTCTCTCGCCTGTTGATGCCGGATTCTGCGGAGGCAGTTGGCAGTTTTGAATGGACATGGGTAAATCAAGGCTCTGGCCGGACTGATTGCGGCAAACCTGCCACCCTGACACATATTGTCCAAATCTTCATCATAACTCACGCAGGCGGTTGAAAGCGGACCTTCGTCGCTCGAGCTTGGGATAGTGAGGCACATTGCCTTGGATTGACTCGTGTTGTACAACGCATGAAGGTATCAGCATGGCAAATAAGCCCGCAACCACCTCCGAAAGTGGCTGCGCATAGCGAGCCTTCAATCCACAAGGTTGATTTTGCCTCCGGCTGCCCACTTGCACACGCCGAGCGGCATTGACAACCTCGCCGTAGGTCAATCAGTCGCAGCTCGCGGAAATCCACTGCCAACCTGAACAGATCCAACTGCATGCTGCTTGTGTGCTGTCTCAATCTGAGCAGCTCGCAGTGCATTGCAGCTGTCACAAACTCGCATAAGAGCATCCAAAGGAGCTCTGCAATTCGGACAATCCTCAGACTCATTTGTGAAATCAAAAAACCATAGCCAAACCGGTCAAAAAAAAGCTGCATGGAGTCAGGCACGTGAACCATCGGTGCGCTGCTGCGCCCTGCAAGCTGTCCACAATCTGCCGTCTCCAAGACATGCTGCACCTGCAACGCCAAAGAGCTCGCCACCTTGCTAGCGTGTCCTTGGCCTGATGTTGCTGCTCGCTGTCCAAGTACATGCTGTAGCGGGAGGACAACACCTGCAACATGGTAAGTTCCTGATTTGAGAGGTCACACCAGCGCAACCTATCTAGATTCAAGGAACTAACATTGTGTGGGCCATGGGAGGTTTATGTATGTACCCTGCTCGTTCGCCTAAAGGAAAGCAGCACATCCGCAAACCAAAACAAGGAACAATGACTGACTTGTGGTTGTTGTAGCTACCTATCCCCTCCATTCCTTTACGTTCCATCCAGAAGTGCCCAATGCCAGCTGGGGCCAAGAAAATGCTCATTTTGCAACTTCTCGAGTAAAGAAAGTGATGGCGCTGGGGGTTCCTTTCCATTTTCTGCCCAATTCCCATTGCCAATGATGCCCTTTCCATTTTCCGTCCATTCCTTCCCATTCCTAGCTAGAAATGCCCAAGGCTAGGCGGGGCCTAACAACGTCTAGTTTCGCAATTTCAAGCGCCGGGTTTCCTTCCAATGACTTTTCCGTTTCCATTTCACCCCTTTGCATTTCCATTCCTTTTGTTTGCTTTATTCAATTCCTCTCCTTTGATTTCAGCTTTTCGTCCCTTCCATACCTTTCCATGTCCCCTCAGTATGTCCCTTCCATTTCCTTTTCGCTTCTTGCCATAATGGCAGCATATAGTTCTAGAATCTGGACATGGTGGGTGTCTGTTAATTTCGCTTTGCCTCGCAAGCCATACTTACTTATAGAGACAACAGATTTATTTTCCTATTTTTTTACAAGGCAATGATACATGATAATCATAAGAGTAATAGATATAAACAAGCCCGATACAAACATAATAAACTAGAAACATGTAAACTGCGAAACTACATAAAATCAAACGATGAATGATATGGTTGTAGTATAAGATTTCTGAACAATAGTCTGATAAGATTTCTATAGTCTAAGAAACGAAGAAAAAGCCAGGAAACAACAGAGAAAGGAAAGGATGATCAAATCCAAGAATTAGACAAAAATGCTAAGGTGTTCGCTAGAAAACAAGCAAATGGAAATAAGAAGGGGGCTGAAGGAAGAGAGGCCCCGCCTATCCTTTCCATTCCTTTACATTCCAAGTCTCATGGCTCACAAGGCCGGAGCCGAGAAAGTTCTCATTTCATAATTTCCCCCTAAAAACATGATGGCTCTTCTTTTCCATGTCCTCTCGTAATGACAGCACATAATTCTAGAAATGATGTGTATCTGTCCATTTCGTTTTGTTAGCGAGATAAAGGGAAAGAAAAGGAAGAGACAAACACATGTGTGTGTGAACGAGGAAGCTCAGAGACAGAGCGGACGTAGGAAGTGATGGAGGAGATAGCATTCACGGTCAGACTTCTGGCCGGGACTCACCACAGAGAAGCATTCCTTGACAGGTAGAGACATAGGAAGGTAATGAATGATTAAACCTCAGGGTCTTTACTAACCAGCGAAGAGACTGGAATGAATGAGAGCTGGGGCTGGGATACAACCGTTAGAAGATTGGAAATGCAATGAGTGAGTGAATATGAAAGAGAAGATTTTTCAGCTTACAGGATTTCCCGTCATAAGTATGCTATTTCAGAGGTTTGTTACTTATCCATTCCCTACCACCTTTCGGTGAAGCATGACGATAGAGGAACTCGTATTTACAGGAAGGGCTTGGACACAAGGACAAGGCGAGAGAGGAATGTGAATCAAGAGAACGGGAAGGGAAAAAGGATCTGAGAAGACGTCTCTTCACTGTCTCCAGCATTTTCCCTTAGACATGTTATCCTTTCCATTTCTAATGTTGGGCCGTCTCTCACCTTTGTGTCACTCACCCTGTCCCAACAGTAGAGAGAAATTGGAATGAAAGAGATATGCCTTCCTTGCCTATCAGTCACTTCCTTCATTCAATATCTTCTTCACAGTTAGGAAGTGCTTAGACAAGGAAGAGATTCTCCAAGATAAAGGGTCTTCCTACATCCTGATTATTCCTCCAATCCTTTACCTCTCATAGACGACTTCCGGAGGCAATTAAAGACGAGAGAAAGAGAAAGTGCCTGAGATTCTTCCCTTCTCCAGTCGTTACCTTTGGAATCTTCGCCAGGCGAGGAAAGAACCGAGCTCTAGAATCTTGGGCCAGCCGATGGCAGGAATAACAGATTAATGGATTTCCCGAGCCCCTCTCTTCTTTCCAGCTTTCCTTCAGTTATGAATGGATCTAGAGATGGATAAAGATAGAACGACAAATATGCCAGGCTTAGAAGAAAGCCATTGGATTCCTATTTTAGAATTACTTTCTTTTCTTTGCTTTCTTTTCTACGTTTTTCATCTTTTGGATGTCTTGTTTTTCCATTACAGGTTTAATATGTTGTAGAGTTTACTTTTTCCAAAATTCCAGAATTACAAGAACTAGAAGGTAGAAATTCCATGAACATCTAATAATTAAAGCATTTCTATTTGGATCCTTTGGAGTTTTCATGTTCTTTCATTTCCATTCATTCGTCCGCTGGGTTCACTTGAGTTGTTCTCATGAGAGTCATTACAAGGTGTCATTGCAAGGAATCATCATCATGAAAGTCATTGCAAGGAGTCATTGCAGGGAGTCATTGCAAGGAGTCATTGCAAGGAATCATCATCATGAAAGTCATTGCAAGGAGTCATTGCAAGGAGTCATTGCAAGGAGTCATTGCAAGGAGTCATTGCAAGGAGTCATTGCAAGCAGTCAGCAAGGAGTCATTGCAAGGAGTCATTGCAAGGAGTCATTGCAAGGAGTCATTGCAAGGAGTCATTGCAAGGAGTCATTGCAAGGAGTCATTGCAAGGAGTCATTGCAAGGAGTCATTGCAAGGAGTCATTGCAAGGAGTCATTGCAAGGAGTCATTGCAAGGAGTCATTGCAAGGAGTCATTGCAAGGAGTCATTGCAAGGAGTCATTGCAAGGAGTCATTGCAAGGAGTCATTGCAAGGAGTCATTGCAAGGAGTTGCAAGGAGTCATTGCAAGGAGTCATTGCAAGGAGTCATTGCAAGGAGCCATGAGAGTCATTGCGAGTTGCAAGGAGCCAAGTGCATGGAGTCAAGTGCAAGTTGCAAGTGCACGGAGTTAAGTGCAAGTTGGAGTCAAGTGCAAGGAGTCAAGTGCAATTGACTTGCGAGGAGTTAAAATCTCTTCTTAGGGCGGCGGGGTTGCGCCGACGACACTACACGAAAATCGACCCTCTGCGGGGATCGGCGTGGTCGAGGTGCAAAAACTCGAGGTTTTTTGCGATTTTGTTTGGGCTCGCGCGACGTCGAGGTGCAAAAACTCGAGGTGCTTTTGCGATTTTTAACATGCTCGCGCGACCCTCTGCGGGAATCGGCGTGGTCGAGGTGCAAAAACTCGAGGTTTTTTGCGGCTTTTGTTGTTCGAACTGGTCCTCTCTCGTGGTTCGCGCGCCTGCTCCCGGGACCAGGGGGTCGCGGGTTCGATTCCTCCCTGGTCCGCGGGCGGGCGTCGCAAGATGCAACTTGCAAAAAGCAACTTGCGCAGAGCAAGTTGCACAGAGCAACTTGCGCAGACCAACTTGCACCGACCAGTTTGCGCAGAGCGCCTTGCCTAGAGCAACTTGCGCAGAGCAACTTGCGCAGAGCAACTTACGCAGAGCAACTTGCACAGAGCAACTTGCACAGAGCAGCTTGCACAGAGCAACTTGCACAGAGCAACTTGCACGGAGCAATTTGCACAGAACAACTTGCAGGGAGCCACTTGCAGGGACCAACTTGCGCGGAGCAACTTGCGCAGAGCAACTTGCGCGGAGCAACTTGCGCCGAGCAACTTGCACAGTGCAACTTGCGTAGAGCAACTTGCGCAGACCAACTTGCACCAACCAGTTTGCGCAGAGCACCTTGCCTGGTGCTGTCTCGCGCTTGCTTCACGAATGCTTCGCGTAGGGAAAAAGAACGCATCCTGCAGCGTTGGGCCGACCTCGCTTGCGATGTTATGCTTTCGGGCCAACCGTGGTCTAGTTTCATGTTTTTTTCCTTGTTCAATGCTGGCCAAAAAAAATAGAACCACGAGTGGCCCGAAAGAATAACGGAAAGGGACCAAAGACAAGCAAAGCGAGCCGACATGCAGGGGGGCAAGTATAGTGGTTGCTCAAGAGTTGGTGTTGCGTGCGCGCGCGTGCGTGCGTGCGTGTTTGTGTCGGTGTGTGTGTGTGTGTGTGTGTGTGTGTGTGTGGTGTGTGTGTGTGTGTGTGTGTGTGTGTGTGTGTGTGTGTGTGTGTGTGTGTGTGTGTGTGTGTGTGTGTGTGTGTGTGTGTGTGTGTGTGTGTGTGTGTGTGTGTGTGTGTGTGTGTGTGTGTGTGTGTGTGTGTGTGTGTGTGTGTGTGTGTGTGTGTGTGTGTGTGTGTGTGTGTGTGTGTGTGTGTGTGTGTGTGTGTGTGTGTGTGTGTGTGTGTGTGTGTGTGTGTGTGTGTGTGTGTGTGTGTGTGTGTGTGTGTGTGTGTGTGTGTGTGTGTGTGTGTGTGTGTTGTTTGTGTGTGTGTGTGTGTGTGTGTGTGTGTGTGTGTGTGTGTGTGTGTGTGTGTGTGTGTGTGTGTGTGTGTGTGTGTGTGTGTGTGTGTGTGTGTGTGTGTGTGTGTGTGTGTGTGTGTGTGTGTGTGTGTGTGTGTGTGTGTGTGTGTGTGTTGTGTGTGTGTGTGTGTGTGTGTGTGTGTGTGTGTGTGTGTGTGTGTGTGTGTGTGTGTGTGTGTGTGTGTGTGTGTGTGTGTGTGTGTGTGTGTGTGTGTGTGTGTGTGTGTGTGTGTGTGTGTGTGTGGGTGTGTTGTGTGTGTGTGTGTGTGTGTGTGTGTGTGTGTGTGTGTGTGTGTGTGTGTGTGTGTGTGTGTGTGTGTGTGTGTGTGTGTGTGTGTGTGTGTGTGTGTGTGTGTGTGTGTGTGTGTGTGTGTGTGTGTGTGTGTTGTGTGTGTGTGTGTGTGTGTGTGTGTGTGTGTGTGTGTGTGTGTGTGTGTGTGTGTGTGTGTGTGTGTGTGTGTGTGTGTGTGTGTGTGTGTGTGTGTGTGTGTGTGTGTGTGTGTGTGTGTGTG